GACAAACGAATTTGAGTTTTTTCTTATTCACTTGTATGAACAATTTTCACAAAGCGGAGACTAAATGTACAACTTGTAAAAATCTTACCATTTTTCAAATTTATGCGATCCATTCATTTGTAGAGCTATTTACTCAATTGTAGACATTCCTGGGACATCTAACGGAGGGATAAAATCATAAATGGTCAATTTTAAAAAACTTATTGTTAGCCACTTTCATATATGAATCTATTTGATTCAAAAAGGAAGAACTTACATTAGTATCTCAATTTCAATTCAAAGGAAGCCCCTGGAATCAAATAATGATAAATTAGGTGGCATATGATGAAAAACCCCAGAATCTAAGATGCACAAAGAGGATGAAATGCCTAAAGAACTAGAAGATGAAAACTTATAGGAGAGATAGACATTGCATGTGATGGCGTTGTATTTATCTGAAACTGCTCAAATGTGAGTGGATCTATAGATGTTGCATTCAATTGCATACTGACAGACCGAAGAGAAGCATGTTGACTCCCAGCTATTGCGAAATAAACAAATAACTACAAATATGCAAAATACACAATATCGAGATACAAAATCAAACCAAAATCAAAAATATTAGTACTTATAATCCTTGAATATACCCCTAAGTTCTCATATTCACCAGTGATAATGTATCTTAATCAATTGTATCTCTTTCCTCATTGTATGTATCCTTCCACTTGACATCTCAAGTTAGTCAACGATTCTGGCGCACATATGGATGCCAATTGACCAAATTTTGTACAAACCTGTTTCCCTCCAACTTTGGATTGCGATCCTTGCTTAGAACATCCAAAAGATTTCTCAATGATATCGAGATGTCATTTTTCATTTCAAAAGTATCCAGTTTGTGTGAAGCTATTATTTTATTATCATCACAACTTGCATACCTTATGGCCTGCTTAGGAGTTTTATTCTCACCGATATTGACTGATTTTGGACATTTATGAGAAGTTGATAAAATCGATACTTGTTTTTCATTTAGGGCATTAATTTTTTATAACCCAAAATCGATATAGTGTAATTTTGATCGATTCTCTCAACTCACCGTATCAATGATTGTCAACCATTTCTTATATTTTCTTCTAAATTTACTTAATAAATTAATTTTTTACAAACAACATATTTGGTTCAAAACTAAATTATAAATAAAAGTAAATTAACTAAAAAATTATTTATAAAAAAAATTACGTTATAATTAAAAAATACTTATATGACAAAAATCACTTTTATTTAAAAAATATAAAATGAAAATACTGCTAATAAGAAAAATTTCACTTTAAAAAAATATATAAGAGGTTACTTATTAGGAAAAAAAATCACTCTAATTAAAAAATTTGTTTGTAAACTCTTAATTAGAAAAATAATTCACTTGAAAATTATTTAAAAATACAAAACTAACTTATAACTATAGACTTCTCTTATAAGTAAAAATAATAATTTAAAATTTAATTAAATTAATTTTATTTAACTTTTAAAGTTAAATATTAACTTATATGTAAAAAAAATTTCTATAAGTAAAATATCACTTATGAGTAAAAAAATTTCATGCAAGAAACTATAAATTGAAAATTTCACTAAGGAACATAGTTGAAATTTTATTCATTTTAAAAAGCTTTCAATACCAATGGATAACAAACCCACAAGCACGAATTGGACTATTTTATAAATGGCTCCTAAAACTACTCAAAATTAGTTCGGTCATAAACACTTGAATTATTTCAGTTTACCTCTTTTATGCTTCTTATTTCTTATAAAAAAAATATAAATAAAAAAATCCATAAAATTCAGTCCACGCAGAAGCCCATTAAACTAAAGCCCAAAAACTGAAAAAAAAATCATCCTTTTAAGACCCAAAACCTACTCCATATCATATCTTAGCCAAACAAAAGAACAGAAATGCAAACACCAGAAATAAACCCTAACCCAAATTTCGGCCCGCAGACCAGCCCAAATCAGTTTAGTACCAAACTCTAGATCGTTGATCGCCGCCTTGTGCAGCCAGCCACCACCACAATCGCCGATGTAAGCACTACCGCTCCCAAACACCAGGAAACCACCATAGTGAAATAACAGCGACTATTGCCAATCAACAACAGTGAACGTCGCCACATCTTCCTTCACCAAAAACAGCCGGAAAAAGGTAGAAATATTACCCTCCCACAACCACCACGATGTAGATTCAAAGCCAACAGACGCCGAAAAATACCACTAAAAACACTATCAAACCCTACCAAACCCTAATCGCAACCAACAACAATTACCGAATAGCCACCAAACATCGTAATTTGCAACCGCAAACGCCGCCAAACTACAATCGCAACCGCAACCGTAAAAACCACAAATCGCCCCTGCAAAAACCCCCGAAGTTTAAACTTACATAAAATTCAGGTTACAAAAGAGCCCAAATGAGGGGTGTCCAGAATGTAGATTTGGTAGAATTCTCTGCATCAATGATTACAGGATTGTCCATTTTCTATTATACTTATAACATGACTGAGTAATTTGTTGAGTGTGAACTTATTAGGTTTCAAATAACATTGCCCTTTCTTTTTCTCCTCTTCATTTCTATTGGAAAATAGTTGAGCCATACTCTGTTCCACAATAGAAGTTATTTGCTAAAGACAAACATTATTTTCAATTTTCGCCAGTGAAGTTCCAAGAACCGTCTATTGAATTTATTGCCAATCACTTTCCTGGAGAACTTACGGTATCCATAATAAAATGATAGAAGGTCCTTATGGTTTTTTAGGGGCAGATTTTGGCTATCAATCTGGTCAAACAACTTACCTCTGAAACAGCCTCCCTCCAATGTTGTACAATTTTCTTTACAAGGAGGTCTTTTTAAGAGACTCTAAGTCTCTAACTTGTCTGGGTGATTCTGTTTTGTTAGTTGAAACTATAATAGTATAGCATTATGATTGAACTTCTGGCTCCCTCTGAATTTCTCTTGTGCTAGAATTTTTTACTCTAGAACTTATTGCAATGGATATGTAATAATCTATTACGAGAACTAGGTCTTGAATGGGATTCACTTTGAGTTTACATATACAAGTTAAATGGTTTTTGACAATATAACTCTTAAAACGGGTAATTTGAGCTCTATGAAACACTGAAACTTTTATAATGAATTCGTGTGTAGATGTCTTCATCATTAAGCTCCGACATATTATGTCCTAATAATGGGGACATGATATGAGCTTCAATTAAGCTACTTAATGGAGAAGAGTCGAGATATCAGACAAACTTTACTGAGCTTCATCCTATAGGTAATAATTTACATTTTTTTTGTGTGCAACAATCTCTTTTTCTTCACAGTCCTAAATTAGTTTTGTGATTCTTGAGTATATTTTTTGCAGGGTCTGATGGCTTTGGTGTTGTGGCAGAATGCAAAAATAAGTTGGACAAAAAAGTTTATGTTGTAAAAAAAATATCTTTGAAGACTGCCAATATGTCTTTTCAGAAAATCTCGAGGTACAATATACGATTTTCAATTACATTTTTTTACTTGTTATGTAATCGCATGTATAAACTATTATATGTTGAGAGAGAGTGAGCATTTTTATACTGGAATCATGACATAAATGCTAGAGTAAGTATGTGTACGATTGCATGCTTAGGAACTCAATAGAAAAAGACTAGCTCGTAATTCGATAATTTAATACTGAAAATATCATTAACAAATAAAATTAACATCTTGTTGTAAGTAAGCATAGCTTTTTTTTTTTTTTTTGAATTAGATGAAATAAGCATAACCTTAAAGAATATTGAATTCCATGAACTTCAAAAACTTTAGTAGAATGTGATACTCTATTCCATGCTACCAAATAGAGTGCAAGTTTGCCAAAATGGCAGGGCGCACACACTTGTAAACAATTGAGAAAGACGCTACCCCAATATCACTTTAAAACTGATTTGGACCGTGAACAACCTCGCAAACAGTTTCCACATCAAATTCAACCTTTTTCCTCCCTGCCATTTTTTGTTTTCTTAGAATTTAGAACAGAGGTTCAACGCCCTTCTTATGTAGCTAAAAAACATAGCGAACTGAGTGCAATCAAGGAGCATGAATTCTTGGTGTTAATAGCTATTGATCCTTGTTCATCTAATAACATATAGACAGGAAATGGTGTGCAATCAACAAGAAAAAGAAAAGTTTAATCATTGTTTACTATTTACTTGGAATAAAATATACACTTTATTTGGGAATATTTGATTCTATGTTAACTGGACCTAGAAGTTTACATTTTTGGAACAAAATCTATAGCTCTAATTTGTGAGAGTCCTGCAAAAACTGTAGGACCTCACTATAGACCTTTGCCATTGTTCGTCTTATTCTAATAAATGCATTGAGCACCATTACCATGCCAAATAATACAGGGAATGGGAGTTCAATGCATTTGTGTCAAATGGAAATTCAATAAGTTGTATAGGAATAAACTTAATATTGGACACCATTTTCCTGCGGAGTAGCCAAACTAATGAAACCTCAGGATCAATATTTTGGAGACTGCCATCCACAACAATAACCAAGTAGCTTGTCCACCATGCACAGGGGCGGACCCAGAGACTTCGGATTGTGGGGTCAAAAAAGAATTTTTTTTCGAACAACGTATCATTAATGAAAATAAATTCATATGCTACTACAATTGTAGCCTACGCGTTTTCATACTTTGAAAACGTCGTATAATTACATCATTATCAATATCTTCAAGTACATCGTTCTCAATATATGCAACCAAACTATCACTTAACCATTGATCTCCCATTCGATTACGCAGTCGATTCTTGACAATCTTCATTGCAGAAAATACTCTTTCTACCATAGCAGTTGCAACTGGAAGAATTAAAGCCAATGTTACAAGCCTGTAAACTAATGGGTACACCTCATGTTTTTTCGTCACAACCAAGGTTTCTGCAAGATCATTAAGGCCTTGTAACCTTTCAATATCTTTGTGAGAGCGCATATGAATAATCTATGTCTGAATTTGTTCTTCAAGTGCCAAGATCTCTATTGGTTTAAAATCTTTGGGATAATACTCACACAATTGAATTAACTTATCCTTGTTGAAAGCAGAGAATGAATTATCCGGACACAAGCATGCAACACAAAGGAGTAAATCACTATTTACCTCAGAGAAACGATCATTCAATTCTTGAATTTGCATATCAATGATAGCATAGAAGAAATCCACACGAAAATGATGTAGATTTGTAATTTCTTGAGTGTTACGCCGTGAACGGCCTAGAGGTATAAACATATCGTCCATATTGGGAACATCAATATTGTACCTTTCGCAAAAGCAGGAAACTGTTCTTAAAAATGATTCCCATTCATTGTCCCTCGTTGCTTGAAGTCATTCTTTACTTATTTTCACTAATTTCATAGCGTTGACAATATCTTGATCTCTCCTTTGTAATGATTTTGACAATTCATCTGAAATACCCAATACCTTTTTCATGAGATGAAAACGGAATACAAAATCAAATGTCAACATAGATCCCAACAAAATACGTGCTTCCCCTCGCTTTCCACAACTAGTATCATCCGTGGCAATCATCTCAACGACATCAACTATAGCAGAAAACATGATAATCTAGTTAAGTAAAGAATTATAGGGAGAGCCCCAACGAGTATCACCAGGTCGCTTAAGAGTAGTTTCTTGATTAAGGCCCTTTCCACTTGAGATTTCACCAAGATTTAATGATTCAACAACTTCAAGCCTCTTCTTCTCTCGAAGAAGATCACATCGCTTAGTCGATCCACCAACAACATTTACCACTTTATTCACTAAAGTAAAAAATGTTTCAATTTCTGCATGCTTGCTTGCCACAGCTACAAGAGCTAATTGTAGTTGATGAGCAAAACAGTGTATATAAAAAGCACTTGGATTCTCTTTCAAAATAAGTGCTTTAAGACCATTGTACTCACCTCACATGTTGCTTGCCCCATCATAACCTTGACCTCTTAAACTAGATATACTTAAGTTAAATCGAGAGAATAAGTGATCAATAGAATCCTTAAGTGAGAGAGTTGTGGTACTAGAGACATGTTCTACTCCAATAAAACGTTCTGTTACTTGTCCTTTCTAATTCACATAACGTAGAACAACGGACATTTGCTCCTTCACTGATACATCACGAAATTCATCAACAAGAATGGAAAATAACCTATCACCGATATCCCTCATAATAACATCAAGTGTTTCAAATGCAATAACACTTACAATATCCTTTTAAATTTTAGGTGATGTTGATTGAAGGATTTCAGGAGCATTACTCAAATAAACATCCTTAATCTCTTTATTATGATCACATAACCACTGCAAAAATTCAAGAAAATTTCCTTGATTTCTTGAATTTTCTAATTCATCATGTCAACGAAATGAAAGCCCTTGTCGTAGAAGTAATCGAACATAATCAATTGACGCATTCAAATGAATTTGATACTTATCTTTTGTTTTTTTTCGACTTCTTAAAGAGAACACAATCAATATTTTGTTTCTAATTCACAAAAGCCTCATACTTAATCCGAGCTCGATTGTGTGCACTACCACTTTTCCCGACAAGAGTTTGAAGCCTTCCTTTCTTTTTCCAATTTGAGAACCCTCCATCAATAAAAGAATCACCACCACCATGTTCTTCACTATTTGGTTTGAAAAGATAACAATAAGACGCGTACAATAAACTTCTAATTTCAAAAGTAGTAATTTATTGCTATTCGGTGGAACCTTAATAGTAGTTCTTTACCCCGAAGGCATACGATTAGGGTCGTGTACATAGACAAAGATATAGATAGATTATTTTACTTTTTCTAGAACTACAAAATAAAACATTTGATTACTGTCTATTGTCACAAAAGTAATATAGATGTTATTCATTCATGTTTTTCTTTTGAGGTGATCGCAGTGGTTCGTTCATCAGTTTTGGAGCCTGTGTGAGTCTTTTTTTTTTGGGTTTTGAATCTAATTCAATAGGTACATTTGATGGTTGGAAAAGAGACATTTTTTTCATTCGGTGGATTGATTTCTTCAGTGGTGATGGAAATGTTGACAGGTCGGCCGAACACGTTGTTCTTGCCTTTTACATCTTTGTTGTTGGAACTTTTTTCCATTTCAATTTGCTTGTTTGCATCTTCTGTAATAATTGAGGAATCTATTTCATTTGATGTGGAGGAGTTGAACACAAATATGATTTCAAAGCGATACTCAGGTGGATCGTAGCGTTTTTCTGTTGCCTTTAGGTAAAAGCGTAGCTCTATATCACTTTCCAATTTCACAATGTTATTGAGTTATTTATTTCCTTCCTGTGGTCGACAAAATATATTTCAATAGAGTGGCATCTTTGTTGTGAAGAAAGAAAGCATTGTCGAAGGATGTTGAAAATGATGTTTTACCTTTTGAAGATGGTTCATTAAGTCATTAGCGCTACTTTCCAGTAACACTTCTGCTGCATCTCCTATGACAGTTGCATCTAACGAACAAGATTTGTCTTCAAGTTGTACAAAAGCATTTATCCTAAAGAATGTGTTTTTTTAGCTATGTACTATGTACCATGTTCCTGAAGTAATAATTAGTAAATTTTTGATCTTATGTTTAATGGAAGAAATTATCTTGGGATAGCTTTTGAGTGTTCGTATTTGCAGAATCAATATTTATGAATTTCTCCAAAGTTCGCGTTGTAAGTTTTCTTGCAGTTGCTGCAAGACATATACCAAAAATTCTGATTTTTTTATGCTATTTTCTAGCGTGCATTCACCCAATAGAATTTTTTCTGTTATAGGAGATATTTCATGTAATTAGATAAAAAGATAGTACCGAGGAAAATGAGTGATGTTACTATAATATTTATTGTGAAATTAGAGCTCATGTATTTCTGTTAATTATATTTAGTTCAGTAGTATAGAAGTACCGTTAGATACACCCCTACTAAATCCTCAATCGGTGTCAATTCTTTATCAGTAGGAGGAGAAAGTTTCGGTGGGCTGACAGTAACAAAAGGTTTATTTTCCGTCAGTTTTTCAAGCGTTTCTTTGTTAGCTTCCACCCTACAAGAGATAATGATATATTTAGTTATAAAATAGAACGTTTGTTTTTTTGTATGAAAGGTACGTAAATAAGCAATATGTATATTAGGTATGTTGTATTTCCATTCTTTGTACTCTGCAACAGCCTGTAGTTGGACATTAATGAAAAAACTGTTATTTACTTTGGTCGAAAGTGTGATGCTTGTATAAAAGAAATTAGGAATATCATACATGATTATTATTTTTGTTGGAAAAAAAAAGAATAATATTATACATGGAACTGTATTTGTAAAAGAAATTTACCATTGAACGAAGAAACTTTGAGATTTGTAGCCCATATCACGAGTCTATTTGGAAGATGTTCAATTATTGAAGTACATTCTCTTTCGACAAAGGTATCCCATAATGTCAGTATCACATTTTTGAATTCTTTATCTATCAAGACTACATCTTGTAGATAAGCTTGTGTACCAAAGTTAGTTTGAATAAGGCGTTTCTGTCGAACAGCGATAGCAACATCGATCACGCCTACAAGGTTACGTAAATTTTTTGTATGTCATTTTGCATGCAATAAATTTGAACGTAAAAATAAATGATGAAATATTTTATATGTCATTTTGCATGCAATAAATTTGAACGTAAAAATGAATTATGAAATGTTATATGAAATGATTTGTTTAAATTTAATGCAGTAGAAATCTTACTTATGTCTGTATTTTTGTCCGTATGCCTCTCTAGTTGATCAAATGCAGTAAGTTCAAATTTTGTTCATTTAATTCTTGAACCTTTGTTCTTCTTGTTATATTCCACATTTTTTGTCCATGAGAACTCTGAAATTTACTTTTGAAATCTTTAACTATTGCATTTGACACAATGTATGTTTTTCCAAGTTCGAACTCATCGTTTAGTGCGGTGGTATTGGCATTATACATTGTTGCTATGATTTTATTTCCCTGTTGAAAATTAGAAAAAGATGAAAACATTTAGAAAGTATACAAGTATAGTGACAGGTAAAAATTTATTGAAACGAGAGTTATATTTGTACCTCTAAATCCATGAGAGTAGGATTTTGGTAACGACTATTGGAATTTTGAGCAGTCTTTGTGGATTGTTTTCCTGCGAGGATAACTTTTGCTAACGAATTGGTTTCTAAAGCTGAAATTTGTGGAATGAATTTATGAGGTACAACCATTTTGTTATCTGTAAATGATATGAGCGATAAGTTAGAGTGTAAATAAGTATAGCAATTGTTGATATGTTGGAAGAAGAAGAAGAAGAAGAAGACGGTATGAATAGAAGTTAGAATTTCTTACAGTATGGAAGCTGTAACTCGTAACGATAATTTTTGTGCTTTTGCAGATTTTGCAGATGTGAAATTGAAACTTTGTGTTAGCCTATTTATAAAATAAAAACTGAGACATAGTGGCTTAATAAATATTTTAATGTTGGGTAGACGATGTTGGAAGGACGATGTTAAAGTATTTATGTGTCCATGTGTCAATTGTAAAAAAGGAAGCATAGATGGGATAAACTAAAAAAACAAATAAAATTATTTACATTGTAAAATCTCATCAATAGTCATACCTTATTATCTAAATAGCCATATTTTACTGTGAAATCACTGGCATAAGATATGGAGTTTGCTTTGAAATTTCACTTATAGTACAAATACGGCTGCAATGGAATATAGGATTATTTTCTTAGTTCTTACTATTTTATTTTATTAAAATTAAAAGTGTGACAGTTTGGAATAGACAAACATATGAAGAGTACTCGGACGTTTAATATATAACATGAAAAATTGAAGTTTTACTTATAGTATAAAAATTGTTTTGAATTGTTTTAATGAAGATAATATTTAGTTTAAAGTACATCGAAAGAAATATATACATTTTATAATTATTTGTAGAACAAAGAAATCATGCTATAAATTAATTCATTTAATTTAAATAATATATAAATAGACAAATATGCATATGTATAATAAATAGTGAAAAAAATTATTTTATTTGTCTAGAAGACTTTTTACTATCACACATATAATTGATATCTTATCCTTATCTATACCATTCCTTTCATATCCCAAAATATTCATCCTCTACCTAAAATCAAAGCCAACTACAGTGAAGCAAGCACCATCCATAGCAAACCAAGGCAAGTATTTACTTGAGAAATATAGTTGATTTTTGCCTTACTTAAACCTTCGTGCACGGAGGATTCCGGCAACGGGAGCTAAGAAACCCGTGCACGGAGGTTTTATAATTTCCATACACGGATGTCTATAACCTCCGTGCACGGAGGTTTATAACTTCCTTGCACGGAGGTCTAAACCATTGTGAACCTCACACCTCCATGCATGGAGGCCTTTTTTCAAGGTCTCCGTGCGGAGATCCTTCATTTTTCGTGCGTGGCAACCTGAGCCTTGGATTTCTATGCACGAAGATTTAAATTTTTCTGCTGTTCATGTATTTTTGAATCTGTATAAATATTAGTTTTCTGCTTGTTTAGAATTGTTAAATAATATTTTGTTTTCAAATTATTTGTGCAGATATCTTTAGAATATATACTCTCTCCAAATCAATGGTTTTCTGCTACTATTAGTCAATACCCAAATCAGAAATAGCTTAAAGAATTTATAGAATTTATAGATGCAAATCAACAATGTTCTATGATGTGCATTAATTTTTATGGATTTTATTCTGAAATTATTTATAGAGGAGAGGATGAGTTATTTAGTAGTAGATTGGTACATGAATTTATAATGCAGCTTATAGACTATAACAAAAATAATGAAGTATGGGTAAAATTTGATGATCGTATTGCTAGATTTGGTATGTAAGAATTTTGTCTTATCGCTGGACTACCTTGTCATGAATCGGTCATGGAGATTGATCATAGCAATAATCGTCTTAGAAATCATTATTTCAGTGGTAGTCAAAGAATTACCATGAGAATGCTATTTGAAGTTTTCCATGAATGTGAAGACGAAGTAGATAAATTTAAGTTGGGATTAGTTATGTTGGTGGAGTGTGTTATAAAACCAGTTGGAAGAATTATTGATTACAAAACTCTTGGTATGGTCGAGCACCTTGATGAATTTCTTGGATATCCTTGGGGTCGAAAAGGATATTTTGTTTTGTTAAATTCACTATAAGAACCACAATTACAAAAAGCAAAAAGAGTACAACACAACGAACAAATAGATTGTAAGTATGCACTACGAGGGTATCCACTTGCATTTCAGGTATTTTATTCATATTTTGTTTTCTTTTGTTGACTTAATTTATTTGTAAAAGAAGAATAATTGTAATTTGTAATTACGATGTAGTATTGGATATATGAGGCATTTCCAGAAATTGGACAAAAATTTGGACGGCGTTGACACAAAACAGCACAGTGTCCACGAATGTATAAGTGGAGGCCTAATAAACTGTTGGCTGAAAAAATGATTAAGCACTTTCTAGCTGTTCGAAAGGTGCGATTTCTTTTAATGAATATATAACTACATTTGTGTTTAATTATTTCAAAACAAAAATGAAAAAAATATTTTGATATTTTATTAAAATTACAGATTCAGGTTATTTCAACGTTACATCCTACGGAGGAAGAATTGGAGACATCTTGGTATATAAATCTTTCACTGCCAGCTGACAATGAACATAGTGTATTAGATGGCATCGTCAGTGAAGAATTAGATAATGTGGCACGACAAATCCCAGATAATACTTTTGAGGAAGAAAGGGATAATATATATGTGCCAGAGACGACCATTCCTAGTACGTCAAGAACTTAACCAGTAATGGGGCCTAATTCTGGATCTAGCACCTCTAATTATGTAACTGAAGACAAGATGATCGAACTCCTGGGTGTCCAGAAGCAAGACATAATAAAAGAGGTGTTTGATATATGTAGCAACTCGAGAACAGAAGTTTATGATAATCAAAGACAGTTGTTCGAACAACACCAAAAATGGCAGGAGGATTACATCAATCTAGTATGCGTTTCTACATGGATAACTCATTATCAAGTTTTTTGAATACACATTTGGAGAAAGATGAACAATTATTCCAACAACAAAAAAAATGGCAAGAAGACCATTACCGGACCATGCTCTCTTATGTAGATATTAGTTTAGATTCTATGCGATATTATGTTGATGAACAAAATACGAATATGCTGCAGAAATTATTTGAATAGAAATCAAACATGGCAGCCGTTATTAGTTGTACGCAAGAAGACATTCCTATTGGTACAGGTCCAATTCCCGATGATCAACCGAAGGATGCATTAACGTCTCAACAAGTCGAAAGTTCTGAAACATCAGAAAGAGAGAAGAAAAAGAAGGAAAAACAAATACAACCTTCGTCGTCTTAAAGACATCCTTTGGAAGACTATTCTATGCAAAAATACTTGACTATTAGAGACTAAATAGTGGAGAACGAATCAGGGTTACAAAGATGATTTTTTATTATTGGTTTAAACACTACAATTTTATTTCGATTTATTCAGTGCTAATTTTAACGATGCTATGCCGTGCATATTTGGAAGATGCCATTGGGAACGTCTATGGAAGAGATTAGTTGAAAACTTTATTGGATAGAACAAAAGATATAAATATTACGGTGAGTACAGTTTAGCCATTACAATCAATTTTATTTCATACTAAACATATTTAAATTTTATCAATTTATTCCATCAGGCAGTTGAGTTGGAGTTGAAGTTGTTGAGATGATTAATTATTAATGGTTGCACCCGCGTGTCTAAAGAATATGCAATCGTGGACTTTGAATTTGAAAATGAGTGGCTAACATGATGACTTGGCAAAGCGAAAGGCGAGAATTATTAAAGCTCAACCAGATGGAACTCTTCTAAACAAACATGTGAACGGCAAAATGCTTATAAAGAGTCGTCCATGGGTAGGGTGTAAGTACTTATTAATTCCATGTTCATTTTTCGGAAATAATTGGTACCTTTTTTTGGTCAATATTTCGGAGTGAAAATTTCAGATATATGATTGCAGCCATAATGAGCATACACCAGATTAAGTGAAGGCACATGCGAATGCAACAATTATTGTGATTAATTCTTTACTGTTCGACAAAGGTTTTGCAGGGAGACGGGATATAAGCAAATACAAAAATAAAGAAATAAAACTAGAGATTATACCATATCTACCCTGTGCAAACAATGAGTAATCATTGAAAATAATTCTTGTTTACTATAATAGATATTTATTCGTACGTACTAATTACAAAAAAAGAATTTTTTTTACAAGCCAAACTGTGGAGTTTTCGTGCTTAAATATATAGAATGCTTTGTTCTAGGATATTCGATAGAATCGGCTTCACCAGACATGATGTTTATATAGACGAAAAATTGCAATTGATATTTTAAATAATGAATATTTCCTTCATCCACTTCTGTCTTCGTGATTGTAATGGAGTAATGTAATTTGCCAGATTATAATCGAGTAATAGAATGTAGTCATTTAATGACTGTAAAGAATGTATTTTATTCAAGTGTTATGTAATTTTGGTAGCCACTGTTCAATATTTTGAGAATCCCTAATATTCATGTTGAAATTACGAAAAAAAATGAAAATAAACTGTTAAAATAACATCAAAACCAAAATGACGTCATACTAAATAAATTTTTTTTACCTATATGTTGCTTTTACAATTATAATTTTTCTTAATCTTAAGGAAATCTAACAAAAAATTTTGGTGTATAGCTCATTTTTGTACATTTTATAAATTAAATTTATCTCATTATTAGTCGTGATTTTTTTAGTTACACGTAACTTTTAATATTTTAGATAGAAATAGACAAATTAATGGATCAATATTACAGTGGAGATGACAGTAAACTGAAATGGCGTGAGAAAAATTGGCTGTTGGCAAACCCAACTTCAAAACAGTTGAATGTGTACTTTTTCTCCATTTTTCACATTATCAACTGTGAATTAGATTACATAATTTTATTAGTAATAATATTTTTTTTTTAAAGAAAAGTGATTTTTTTATTTCTAAAATATAAAAAGTTTTTTATAACTAAAAAAATAATTTAGTTTTTCAAACAAGAGTCTGAAAAACTGAAAATACTGATAACGAAATAAAATTGATTTATAAAACGTAAAAAGTACTTATAAGTATAAAATTCACATAAAGTTATTTAGAAGAAAAAATTAATTTTTAATTGTAAAGGCTACGTACAGTTCAAATATTTGAATATATTTAATTTATTGAATTAAATATAAATATTTGCATATTCTTAGTTTTTTTTAAACAAAATTTTAAAAATAGTAAAAATTCCGATAATTGTTTTTGTCTTATACTTAAAAGAATACGAACGTAAATTTTTTGAAGTATAAATATCTAAATATGTTTTATCTTTCAAACTAAATAGTGATAAAAAATTACACTATCTCGAATGTAAAGAGTAACTTATAAGAAAAAAATTATTTCAGTTTATTTAAAAGTAATAACAAAAACTTATAATTGTAAAAGTTACTTGTAGTAAAAGAATGAACATAAATATTTTTAAGTAAATATTCATACATATTTCATTTTTGCAAATAAATTATTTTCAAATAAAATATTAATAACAAAAAATGAATAAAAAAATTGAATAAAAAAGAAGATATGTCACTTTAGACACGAAATACACAGAATAAGAACACTCTCTGCATGGAGCATGTAATTCAGACATTGTTGCCGTGTCAGTGGAACGTGCAGTCATTAATGCAGCACAAAATGACGATCTTACCCCCCCTCTCTTTGTCCGATGTAGTGAAAAAAACAAGAGGGTTTCTTCATCCTTTTCGCCCAACATTTGGCTTTGGAAAAAGAATCTCTGTAAAGTGTAAGGTACATTGCAGAGATGGACCCCACCAAATTTAAAAAGAAGGTTGAATAATGCAAATACATGCGAAAAAATAGTGCAATGGGTAATTCTTTGTAAAAGTAGGAGTGCAGCATGAACGGTATGGCACATGGGGCCATGCCCTCTTTCAAAATGAGGCAAATAATGGCAAATAAATTTTTTGTAACTTAGCCCTTAAGCTTGTCCCAAGCTCCCCAGATCTTGTGGTTTGCCTTAGGTTGATCTGGCTCTCTTCAATCATCATTTATTGATTTCATTCCATTTCCTACAACCAAGTTCCTCCACCTCATTTGCCTTTGTTTTCCAGCTGGTTGCAGCAAGTTAAATTGGCCTTCAACCCAAATATCAATCTTGGAATTTTGGCTTGTAATCTTCAACTTATAACTTGATTCTTGGCTCGTCATTTTTAACATGCTGGACTTCTTGGTTGGAGCATAAAAGTAACCAGCTTTATTAACTCTTCGAAGTCTTGGACTTAGCTCAATCTTTGGATTCGTTTCCATATGAATATTGGAACAAATAATAGTCAGCTTTAACGCCCTTTTTAGCCTCCAATTATGCTCACAAATTGGCCTAAATCTCCCTTCATCAACCATTAATGCTTTGGCCATTTCTGGGGCATCCCGAATCACATCACAACTAAAGATATATTAGGTTGTCTCACCTAAATTCTCACTGATAGTCATTGCAATATGTAAAGTATGAGTCATTAAAAACAATTGTACAATCATAATATTATATTGGAACTTAATAAAATGTGAAATTTCATAAAAGATAGTGGATAAAACTTAGTTAAAATAATCTGACATTTACATTAGTTGAAAAAAGAAGTATTTCATTTAGCATAGCCGACAGAAAAGTCACAGACAAAGAAATAAATTGCAATAAATCGAAAATATACCTATAAAGAAGGTGCAGTTCTATGAATGTATGAACGAAAGAACCTCCTTGTACACAACATTTTTAGTACACGAGTTGTGCGTATGATCTTCGTTGGATGGTTTGAGCAGAACTTCAATAGATCTACTTGTTTTTGCTCTTGACAATGCTACATATAATTGACCATGGCAGAAAACTGGTTCTGGAAGATATAAACCCACGAAATCAAGTCTCTGACCCTGTGCTTTATTTATGGTCATTGTAAAGCATGGTCTAATTGGGAATTGAGTCATTTTAAATGGAATCATAGTTCGATCAGTTTTAAGAGGTATGAAAGGGATCCTAGGTAAGAAAACTTGTTTTCCACGATATTCACCAGTTGTGATTTCAGCAAGAATAACATTTCTCTCAAATTTTCGACAAGTAAGATGTGTTCCATTGCATAATCCCTTGGAAGGATTAATATTTCGTAATAACATTACGGGACAATTGACCTTTAGTTTCAACTCATTAGGTGGAATATTATTTGGTGTCAAAGTATTCAAGAAGTCTTCCTGTAAGCTTTGTTCTAATTTCTCAATTGCTACATCAAAACTATAGTATGTGATACTTTGAGCAGGAATTTGTTCAAGCAAAAGTCCACTAATGTAGTCAACACATTCATTTGTAGGCGCAAGAATAACACGATTGACCATCGTATATAAATGATCGGCATATGTGTCTATATTGGGAAACACACAATGTATCAATTTTTTAAAGACGTAATTTCATCTTCGAATGGTAGAGCTATACTATTTGGTAGCTTAATACAATTACAAGTATGTCCTTGTTCTGTTCCACCTCCAATTCTAAGTAAGTATTCACAAAACCTGGGATCGACTTCGCTCTCATATTTTCAACCAGTGCCAAATGTACAAAAAAAGGCCACAAATACGAGTAAATCATGCTAGCATTTTCTATGTTTTCTTTGTTTCCCTTAGGTACAACTGGTAGAATCTGTCTGAAATCTCATTCTAAAACTACTACTTTTCCACCAAAAGGCAAGTTACAATCAGTAATGTCTCTAAACATTTTGTCTGCAGCTTCTATAGCACAACAATTTACCATGGGTGCTTCATCCCAAATTATTAGCCTGCACATTTTCAACAAAGTTCCTAAGACCGATTGCTTGCTAATAGAGCAGTTGACTTCACCTATAGTTTCTAAAGGGATTTTAAATCTCGAACGAGCAGTTTGACCTCCGGGCAATAAAGATGCAGCCACTCAAAACGATGCAGTTGCTAAAGCTATGAAATATCGATATCTGACAGCAGCCAAAAGTGCTCTATATAAAAAAGTCTTTCCTGTCCTACCTAGACCATTGATAAAAAAAATTGCACTTGATTCAACTTGTACTCTTTCCATAATTGTATTATATGCAAATTGTTGTTCTTTATTTAACGTCGTTGCACAACTAAAGCTCCTTTCAATATCCAAATTGGTTGTTTCCTCTGCAAACATTCTCATCAATCTTTCATGATCGTTTATTTTTACGTTAAATAACACGATTCCATAATGATTCTAAAATAGAACTTATATCCTCTAAAACTCGTACTTCAACAATTTCAACTGGCATATTTTAATTTACATAACCATCAGTCATATAAGGCTTAAATTCATCCCACAGTAACTTAGGATTATTTGGATTGCACATTGTAAGAAGCGTAGCAAAAAGACGTCTTAAAGAAGAAGACATTTCATAAATAATAGCTTTAGATAAACATTCTTCACAACGAGTATCTCCATTTAATAAACCACGTAGAAGCGTAACTTCACAAAATGTACCAACATTTACCCCATTGAAAGTCTTTAAATCATCGAACGATGTTGGGCCTTTAATATGATTAAGAAGAAGACGAAGAAAATATTGTTCTTCTTCAGATGTATTTATCGAGACAATTCGTCCTACAACAATCTACTTCTTTCTAGGAGTCCATGTTTTGTTATATGCATTCCAAACAAAATGTATGGGGAAATCTCGATACAAAAGCATTCGAGCAAATTCATTTACTTTATTCACTCGAAAAAACTCAGTTAACATTGTTTTTCTCATATTTTCATTCTCAATAACAGAAAATAAATTGTCCATATTTTTATAAGTTACACATTGATGAGCTTCAATATGAAGTTGTAAAGCACAAACAACTGGATAGATTTCTGATAAATTAAAAGCAAAAATCCTCTACATAGCTTTAGGTGGAGATATCCATCTAGCAGATTGGTAAGTAGAAATTTCATCAATGTCTTTGTCTATGTTATTTTTGCCGACCAAAAAATTAATACGATCGTGTCCTTTGTATACATATTTATATAAATATTTGATAGCTTTAATAGAAGAACATACTCAACATTGATATGACAGTCGAATTTTGTACTTAAATAAGGATTATATGGCAAAACCCATTGATTGTCTAACATTTGACCTCTCACCTTAACATAAATACCATTATTACGCTACCTATACAGTGGGTACGAATTATCTTCAAACATAGTACTATTACAATAATCCTTTGGATATTTATTTTTACAACAACTATTTTTCTCCGTGCATGTGTTTTTAGGATTTAGATTTCCACAAGGACCGTGCATGTTGTGCTTTACAATAACTGAATGAAGATAAGGATGTATATTTTTATTAGGAATTTCACAAGAGACTATCCTATCAACTTGTTTAGTGGAAGAAATTTTATGGTCAGAGTTAAAAATCAACAATAGATGTGCATGAGGGAGACCTCTTTTTTGAAATTCAATCACGTATATATGAGCAATAATAGGACCAAAAATATTTCTCTTGTATAAGTCATTTTTAAGCTCTTCTAATTTTGCTCTAAATACACGTACAATTAGATTTGGTCGATTTTGAACCTCATCATTATGTTTTAATTCTTACTTAATTTCTGGCCAATTTGGATTAGATGTTATAGTTATTAATAAATATGGTTTTTCATAACGTTGGACAAGAGTCATAGCATCTAAGTACCTCCTTAACATAACTCTAGGTCCACATGTAAAGGATTGTGGTAAAACAAATTTTTTTCCAATTTTGTACCATCTTGTTTCTCCATTATGTATATTGTCTACAATACCTTGATAAAGTTCAGCACGAATTTGTTTTTGATTACTGCAAAAATAATCTAATATGGATGTCTCTATTTTAACATACATATCCATAACATATTGTTGGAAAAGTCTACCAGAGTGAAGCAACACAAACTTAACAGAAGGCCTAATCTGTAACTTGTATGAGTAGTACTCACGACATGATACCTGAGACCTTTTCTTCGTATCCTTCAACACTACATAAGCGAAAATGAATAAAATTTTATATTTACTTTCAATATCACATTTGTAGAGCTATAATAGACACAAGGAAGTATATAAGCAAACTTGCAGCCTCTTTTTCGATAATTTGAGCTGTAGAATTTATCACATTAGGATTAGCAACATGGTCTACAAACTGTACGAGTCGAGAAGATGTTTGTTCGTATCTTAGAATGCCTTCATCCAACCACATTCACCAAATGGGAAGAGCAAAGGATATTGTAGAGGATCATAACAACCATAATAATAATGAACCCTATGCGAATCACCAGAATGACCATATATAGTAATATCACGAACGCGAATATTTGCATTTTCATCATCATCGACCCATATAGCAGCTACTTGAGACGTCGACGGAGTATTAAAGACTATCTGATCGAGTCCTGGGTGACATCTTATTTGAATTTTATGCTCATGCAGATCAGTTATATTGCTTAAAGGCCTAAAAAATTTACTATACGGATTTACCTTCAAGATTTCGATTGGAATAAATAAAATAGATTCTACCAGGTGTTCAGAAGTTTTCATATGATTTTCTAGTTCATTAGCTATATCATAAAAATATAATTGCATATAACAAGGCGTATTATTATCTGGCATAAATTGATTTACATAATGATATATTTGTCCTTGAACTCTAAATGTGTAGATACATTTGTATGCTTTGGACAATTCTTTGTCACACTTTACACCAAATGAAGTGAACGTAAAGTGATTATTATATCCACGTGCATATTTTTTAAATTCCATACATACAGGCTCTTTAGACGTAAATAAAGTATACAATTCATCCGATAAATTGGGCATAAAAAGTATCACCTTTCCATCAGAGCAACAAAAACCTTTAGTTTCTCTATACAATTTGTCTGCACCTCAATGCTTACATTAAGTACAAGTTGGTAATATATATGCAGTTGCTGGTACACTTAAAAAATTAGAACTTCCATGTAATTCAGAATAAAAAATATTTGTCGTTTCTTCATTCGAAGTAGATGCCTCGGAATGTATTATATATGCATGCACATAATCAATTTCAGAAGTATTATTTGTAGATAACATACGATCATTTATTCTTTTACGACGATCAATACTTACAGTTTCATGTCGATATCTCCTATCTGCCTGCCTTCGATTTTGTTGTTGGGGAATAAAAGCATTATATGATTGACTTGTGCTTTAGGACAAAGTTTGAAGGTCAAAACGATCAGGCTCTTCATTCATAGATTTTTCCGAAAGAATCCATGAAAACAATGAACTGACCTCTAATTTCAATAATAGAAGAAATTATTAATTTAATTAAAAACCAACAAATAATGATAATATTAGATTTAACACATTATAAACTAAATTTAATGAATTCAAATACATG